GAATTTAAACAATATTATGTCGCCGTCTTCGACCACGTAATTTCTACCTTGTTGTCGGTACTTTCCGGCAGCCTAGACAAAACAGAATCAGCTTCTGTTCAACGATGTTTTAATATTAGTCGACATTGGAACTACACAAATCTCAATGTTTTCTAAGTACAATATGCACACTGCTGCAGCTAAGTCGTCGATCTGTACAGGGAGAAGGAGCTCTGCACTGATGATTTCAAACAAGCTATACGTTGAACGTAACCGTCACAATGGTGGCATAAATCGCTTATTTTGACACTAGTCCAGCATCATCTCAAAATGAAAAAATTTTCCAGACCTTTGCTAAATGTGAAAGTACATTGAATGCCATAACAGGCGACTGGAAGTTGCGGTTAAAAATGTAACGAATCTGTCAGCTATTCATTCATCTGCACATCTGATCCTAACTGAATTAAGATTGCGCTTAAAAAATCAAACTTCTGGCTGATAACATCGAATGTACGGGAGGGGACAACTAAGCTGTGGACTGTGTTACAATGCACGTCAGGTGCCGGAATCAAGTTTCATGCGCGGCGAAGAATATTCTAATCAAACTGCAAATTGGAACTCTGTGCTCATGCCAGAGTACGCGATACATCTGCTTTAGGCTGCAATTCGCTTTGGCCCAGTTGATAGCTGATTAATAATCAGCAGCACAAGGTATATCCGTAAACAAAAGGCTGTAACCGGGATTTAACTTGTAATGTCACTATCTTCGTTAGATTTCATCAGCTTCGTAAAGCAGTAACGGACTGTACCATCCAAATAGTGGATGCGTACATTCACGGCGGTTATACGTGTTACTTAGTCACCGTCATCTAAGGATAGCAAGGTAACCCAAACTATTTAACCGTTCGAAATAGCAGTTCAGACTGATTTTGTTATGCAACATTTATGCCCTAAAATAGTGCCATTAGTGGGAAGTTTGGTTCCATAGCTATAGGCGCCAAAACTAGCAAAAATCTATTAAATGGACACTGATGTTGTGCATTACTACGTGTTGTAGCTAACAGGTAAAGCGAGAGCGACATCCCAACAGTTACCAACTTTAGAACTATCCTTCTGCCACTGACCCATAATCTGACCGTTTTGCAGTTCACGACTAGCTTTCATGGCAACCATCGCAGCTATAAAGATGCGTTCTACTGTGTTTCGAACTTGCAGGAGACAGTTTAGGCATTGCCCATCCGCTCGACCTGAAAGAACAGTGGAATTTATGGACAGCAATTAATACTAAAACCTGCTAATTACTTTGATTTCATAAAATGATAGCAGATATCTAACAAATGTTCAAAAAAAATCGACAACCCTATGGTTCCAACTAGCTCACTGTCGAATATCTATACATGAAAAGCACAGCAAAATTGCAAAGCTTAAAGCTTTGTAAAAAAGGGGAATTGTTGGAAGTGCCAAGCGAGCATTCCAAAATTTCACCAAAGGACAAAAATATCTGCTCATTGCACAGAGGCTGTAAATGGAACGCGGCGCAACTTCTCATCACCAGGAACGACAGAGCAGAAAGAGGACTAGATACATCATCACATGACCTGAAGTTGTTGGTTCATTTTCATCTAGAGATATTCTTGTTAAACGATGTATGAAAAGAGCTGCTATGTTATCTTAAAAATATCTCAATCCCGTCGCTGAATATTTTGATGACATTAAGAGAAGCTTTACGATTATCACAAAATAACTTATCTAAACTCGGTTTCACCTTAACAGCACTTTCTGATCCTTCAGCTTTAAAGTCGTCAAACTTCATCACTTCCGCCATGATAAACCCTTTCTCGAAATCGGTGTGAATTCTGCCTGCCGCTTGTGGCGCCTTCGTTCCTTTCTACATTGCAAACCTCAAGTAAGATAAATCAAGTCATCAGTGCTTCCTCACCTGTATCGACCAAGCTTTAACTTCGTCCTTGCCACAGGTAAAAAAGTACTCCAGTTGGAGGGCGTTGTAACCGACCTTCATTATTTTTTCCATCGCGCTAAACGGAGCAACCACCTACGAAAATCGCTCACAAATGCCATGCACGCAACAGACCTGTGCGTATTGTTTTTCTTCAAAAACTCTTTTCTTTCTTCTGGTGTCATGTCCTGTAGCTTGCTTTCCAAGGTGGCCGAAAGAGGAATAATTATCGCATTTGGATCGTGTGCGTCTACGAAACCCTTTATCTTCGAAATCCTAAAACAGTGAGCAACGAACATGCTCGGAAATCGAACACAGCAAAAATGTTCACATGCCATCAAAACCGAACAAACCATTTATTTTTCTTCTTAATATATTCCTCTTCTGCCATGTTGAGCAAATAAACGATCGGTTTGGCCGTCAAAAATAGATGCTTGTTCAGAATTTCAATCTAAATCAAGACCAAATTAACACGCTAAATCCGTAACAGCAGAGATCAAACGACCTAAGGTTTTCAGGTGTGTTGAAGTGATTGATGTCTGAAAAACTTTGAACATATTCTGATATCAAAGAGAATAAAAGCTCATTAAGAAAGAACGAATAAACGCCGTAAAAACTAAATGTTTCAAACCGTGTATCATTATTCATCTTTAGCAGAGGACAAATCATGGTCTGTCGTTTTAAGGCACGCCGTCCAAGAAAACAAAGATACGACTATTTATTATCCACTCTATGTCGAATGAAAACTGACGAAATCTAGTCACAACATTTGCGTGTTGTTAACTGCTGCTCTCTATACTTATAAACGGACACTTTGTGTAGTGGAAAAATAATTCATTTCAAAAAATGGATTGATGAACTTAAAAGGGTTGATCAAGCAACACAGCAGACTCTAATTTTAAAAAGAATAATCGCAAACCGTTTAGAAATAACTGTATCGAAATGACGGTTCAGAGGTCATCGCGAGTGGGCGCCGACTCATCATTCCTCCGGAAACGCACGCGAGGCGATAATAAGCGGAGAAAAGCATACACTCTAATGCTATTGGGAGACGTTGGTCTCTCACGATTGAAGGAAACAACATGTAAACAACTTCAGAAATGGTCTAAGTCTGTGTTAAGATTAATGACCTTTAAGCTTCTTCAGAGCATGATGTGGTACTGTCATGTACAAGTAAAAGAACGGACCAAAATATCTCTGATGACGGATAAAGCGTCCAGGATACATGTTGACTGCGCTACAAGAACGATTCCATTTTTGCTCAGAATTGCCTATTCACTAAATGAATAAAATTTTCAACAAATGGTGCAGTTCGTTGTTAGCTGGTAATCATAGACCCTCCGGCTTCAACATGAGCGAAATCGAACAGCGACTCAAGCATCCTGACGAGGCAAGATGAGTCTCTACATCTGACCGAAACATCGATTAGAGGTGTATTCGCAATTGCGGTAACATTACGTTGCATTTGCAGGTAGGGAGTTGCCTATGTTTAGTCAAGAATTCCTTAATTAACGAACTACTGTAATTCAC